TTCTTTCTTTCTTTCTTTCTTTGTTTCTTTCTTTCTTTCTTCTTTCTTTCTTTTTTTTCCCCCTTTGGTGGAACCAGGGATTGAACTCAGGCCCTTCTGCTTGCCAGGCCAGCACTTATTCTACTAAGCCATCTCCCCAGCCCTCCCAATAATAGCTTGTAAAGAAGGACCTGGAAATGGAAGTTATTAGAAAGCTCTGAAGTTGTGCACTGTACTATGTTATTCTGGTGGGAGGCTTATAAAATATTTGACAAAAATCACCAGAAATATTTTCAGTTTATGTGGCATATAATTACAATAATAAATACATCAAAACCTACCAAGTAATGATGAAAATATGAAATAGTGTACTATAACTGGATACACAATGAAAGTTCTCTGCCTATTTCCAATTTCTGCAAAATATGTTTTAAAATAATTCTTAAAATGCATGCATTTAGGGGCAAGTGAATTTGAAAATGGTTACAAAAATTCATCAAATCCTTGTAAACTCACATGTCTTTAATCGAAATTTCCTTGAATATTTCACAAAAGTGTCAATTCCACACAGGCTTATCCTGCCAAAATTTGAAGGCCAGGAGCATGGCTCCCAAGACAATCCTTTACCAATTTGTGGGGCAGAGGTCAATGTCAGCATAAGTTAAAAGTCTTTCTACATAAATCTGCAAAGAATAGACCACAGTTTGTTCATTTTAAATCTGTTGAGGTGTAGGAGTATTAAGAACTGTCTTAAAGCATGAGTTTATTTGGTGTCTGACCAGGACGGGAAGTCATATAGACATTTTGCGCACTAAAGCAAGAGGTCAAGTCACAGATAGAAATCAGATACCTTTGCTGCCCATGTCCAATTATTTCCGGTTTTGGTGAAAGGAATGAGAGAACATCTCAGAAAACACATGTGGCATATGGTAATCTTGTCACCTTCATATTCATGAAAGCCACAGATACAGGCTGGTGTAAAGCTATTCAGTGAAAGTTGGGTGGCTCCAACATGCAAGGCAGCATACCCAGCTGGCTTATACTGTAGAACAGTTTTATACCAACCATGGTGAAAAGTAATACTGAAGTCATAGTGAGTACATTTTGTGTTCTTGGCTCATTGTTAATATTTTTGTGGCACTTTTAATTGGAGCAAAATCTCATTCCAGAGGCTGCTGTGCAGAAAAGGGTGATAATTCCAGGAGTTTAGAACTGTAGCGAATTCCCTAAAATCAATGCCTGTGTTACAAGCCACATTTAAAATAGGATGGTCCTTGTTATAATCCTTTTGCGCAATTTCACTAGGAATCCTAGCCACTCACTTAGGAAGTAATTTTTCCCCAAATCTTATACATTTTAGAAGCACACACATCAGACTTCTGAGAACAGACTATTCATTCCTACAACCTCTCACTCAGTGATCCTAAATATGAGCCTCTGTCTTAGGACACAGGTCTTTTCTGTATTGAAATGGCTCAATGGCATAGAAACACTGACTCTAATCCCTCAACTTCAGTTCACATATTTTGTAGGCTCTTTTTCTGGGTTGACATTCATTTGCAACACTTCACCTGCTGTGTCACTGGAACAGTGTTCTCAAAATGCCAACTCTTCCCTCAGTTTCATTTCCTCACCCCTTGTCTTGAGGACACTGTTCCCACAATTATGACTTTTTGAAGACGTTGTGCCGCTTGCAGATTTCCTTACACAAATGTTTTTACACTGTTGTCATCCCCTTGCTTTGTCTCCCAGACTGCTACCTCTTACCTCGCTCACTCTTTTATGTCTATGCCAGCCAGCCACCTCTTCTCTCCTTACCCCAGTTTATTCTGACTCTGATGCTATTATTGTCCTGAAATCTTCTTGCCAAGTAAATTGGTGCCGTAATTGATGATGTTCGAACTACTTCTCCATTCCCAACTCTTGCTAATTTGTTAACAGCAATGCCTGTTGCCTAGTAGCTTGGTCCAAATCTAGGCTTGAGGTATCCTACTTCAGTCTCTGTATGTTTCTTCTTATGTCTATCTACATTGGTAAACTAATAGCTCTTAATCCTGACCTTCCATTTGCTACAGGTCATCAGCATCAGTGTGTTGTCTTCTAACCCTTTATCTTTGCCTTTAAGCTAAATCCCAACTGCAAATTCTCCTATAATGGAAATATATCCCATGGCTATTTCACCAGATCTAGAGCTCACAAATGGCAAGAATATCACACTATGTCCTTCCAATTCCCCCGCATGAAGCGTGCTTACCCAGTGGGTGCTGAAGCTACTTCTTGGCCTATTTGAACACTCTGCTCATACCTTCTTTTACTTTGATTTCTCTGATCACTCTTTGCTCCATTTTTCCCCCTTCTCTTGCTATTCCTTTAGATATTTTTTCTTTGAAATTCAACAATGAGTCTCTGACAACTCCATTGCACGTACTTGAAAAGGTACACTTTTCTACTTTATTTCAGAGAGTGTTTACTGTTCCTGTCTTATACATCCAAATGAACTCTTTCTCATTTGTTATTATAGACATAGTAAAAATCTCATTTTCTGAATTCTGTGTGAATACACAAATGTCAGGACACACCTAGCACACATCAGGCCAATAAAACTTTTCTAAGGATTGCTGGTACTGTCATCCTAGGCAATGTCCTGAGCATACTCAAGCTCTCAGCAGGGATGGACTACTGCCATCACCAAAGGAACAGAGCATGGAAGACAGTGAATTGCCTAGAACACCACCTGGGGCCTGTATTGACCTGCATAGAACATGCCTCTATATCTCACATGGTCTTCTAATTGATCTTCCTCCTTCCTCATGCCATGTTTAAGTGATCATGGGGTTAAGTGTTTGTGCGTACTGAGGTGCATGGGTGACCTCTTCAGTTGTGTTTAATTGTAATGATTCTGTGATCAGAATAGACACCATTTTACACTATGGGATGCAAGTATATTTCCTTTCCCTCCTTTGATAGAGTTTGTTAGAGTTAGTGTCTAGATGTTACCCAAAGCCTCCTCCTTTTCCCAAGGTGGCTGAATAGGAAAGTACACTGCTAGACTTAAGGGATCGAGGTTTAGTGTGTGTGTGTGATTGTAGGATCAGTCCACTGACTGGATTTGGCACCACCCTAATCCCAGTAGATTGACAACAGTAGAAAGTGGAAAAAGAGGCTCATGTCCAAACATTGGTCTCTTTTCTTTACTGTAATGTCATCCTAGGCAATGTCCTGAGCAGACTCCAGCTCTCCGCAGATGGACTTGTTGCCCTTCTGCCGTGTACCCCCCAAACTGGGTGTGAACTAATTATGGGCCAAAACATCTTCAGCCTATGAAACTTCAAAGAACCTTTGCTATTTTACCTTTAGGTATTCTGTGTTTTGTCTAAGCAAGGAGAGAAAACTTCCCTTATGAAAGATGTCATGCTATTTTCCAGATTCTAATATTTAAAAAAAGTCCTTACTCTCTGTCCAAGACCAATTTCTAAGCATGCTTGATAAATGAAAAGCATCTAACCAATGTGTGGGGAACAGTGTCATCAGCAGGGAGAGCAGGAGGGGTGCCCCTGCTTGCCTTAAGGCAAGGGTGTGGAGACCCCTGAACTGATCCCTGTAGCTGGGAACATGTCCCTTCCATGACCTCCAAGAATATGAAATGAATGGGAGATCTGCCAGGAAGAACTCGGCCTTGATTCCTTCCTGAGTTCTCAGTATCAAATAAGAACACCTGGTGTTTGTAGTAAGAAAAATTCTGAGTTTAAATTATACTAGCTTCACCTCATGTAACCTCATATGCGACTGTATAAAAACTCTTTCAGAATAAAGAACTTCGACTTTCGCCTGAAGAGCGTCTGGTCCTCTCCCTCTCAGTCACCTTCCCTACTCCTGTTCCACAGGTTGCCAAGCAGGACTTGACACCAATGTAACTATTGCACATTCAGCTGGAAACAGTGCAATGTGAAAAATGTTAGCAAGAAATCTGTATATAGAGTTCAATTCAGGATCATCCTCAAAATATTCCTCTGGAATTTGTCTTTCTAGAAGGAGAAATGATACAATGCCAGTGTTTACTGAAGAAAGGTGTTAAGTGATGTTAAGACAGCTCTTTTCATCATCTGCTGACATGTCTTGAAAATTTTAAATTGGGTTGTATATCTTTTTTTTGTTGTTGTTGACATCAGTTATTTTTACTTTAAAGAAAGAAAAAAAATAAAAACAGTGGTACAAAATCTCAAAACAAGATTTTAGGAGAGTAACAATGGTTAGTACATTGTGTGTTTTTATTGCCAAAGTAGTTTCTCATATTACAAGATATAGGCAAGAATAAGCAAATAACAGAGGTACAAACCTCTTTTTTTTAAGTCAATAGAAAATGGAAATATACTTTATAAAGTTTCTAATGCTAGGAGAAGATATCATACAATGTCTTTTTAAATAAATTGTAAGTCAAAGATACAGTATAAATCTTAGAACAAAAATTAAGATTAAGCAATATTCAGA